TAAGAATGTTCACAGTATGCTAAATAATAGATAAAAATTTTTCGAAATTTTTAACGTTTAAATAAGATGTTTTACCAAATCGCGATACGTGATATTTATGTTATGAAGATAAGACATTCCTTCGGCTATTCGACTCGTTAATAGAACCTTCTCCGGCCATTCTAGTTTGTTTTTTTGTAGATATTTTCGTAAAGCTCCATTATTTACATATTCCATTACAAGATAATATGTTTTCATGACTGTTATGTCTTTAGTAAAAGTTTTAAATCAAGATTTAATTCGTCGAAAACTCATTATAATATATATTTTAAATAACTCCCTGAGACTAATTCCATAAAATTTGATAATTCGCTCATACTATTGAGATGTTTTAATTAAAAAAAACTAATATATTTTTAGTCGACAAAAAAGGAATCTTACATAGGTATTTGGATGATATACCTTGTTTATGAAAAGCTTTTCATCTGTTTCTGATTTTACTTTCCTAATCGCCAGGTATCCTAGTGATTTGGATTTGGCTTGATATACTGATCCAAAACTCAAACTCCCATATCTTTCAAACTGTTATAAGGCATTTCTTTCAATTTATATTCTTCAATAATGCTTTGAAACCATTCCCTATCTCTAAGTAGTTTAACACATATGAAGAAATAATGATAAGTAGAAAATTCTACCTATGCTTTATGAATAAATTATATACTTACTTCCTGGTAATTTAACACATAAGTGAAAAGAACAGGAAAGTAATAATTAATGGAGATTACTAGAGGTCCAATCCGGATAAACCCGTCATCCGTTTATCCGTATCTTAATTATCCAGATAATTCAGATCGAATAAACGGATCCGATATCCGGATAATCCGACTGATATTCGGATAATTATTCGAATATCAATAGTAAACAGATATCCGCTATCTGTTATCCGAGTATCCGATCCGAACTTTATTCAGATATCCGATAATTATTCGGATAAACGCTATCCGGATTGGACCTCTAGAGATTACTATTGACGATTAAATGTGTACATTATTTTATGAATAAATTATATACTTACGCACAGAAAAGAGCGTTGGTGTAATGTAGTGTATTTGAAACAATCGTAGGTGTATTGATCAAAACCGGATGAAACTACCGTATAAATGACTGGGATCTGTTACACCCCACGAATTTTAAAACCTATAGTAGACCAGAGGTCTAGTACGTGGCTGAGAGTTTGTATCATTGAAAGTAAAAATTTGAAATACATACACACTTCGCATTTGCATTCAATCAAGAAGATCCTGAGATCTGTGCATGGATCTAATACCCGGTGGGTCACTATTCAGAAAGATCTTTTATACGAGCGAAACTATTTTACGTGAATAACGAAAGATGAAACCACGTTCAAAAAAACAATTGGAAAAATATTATAAATTTAAAATCAATATCGTTAATTTTATTACATCTAATTAATAATCAGTGACGCCAGATTTGCATCATATTGAGTGATTTGTCATAACATTCACATATAGTATGTGAAAATCTTAACTCCTTCCAAAAACGAATAAATGAAAATCAAATCAGCATAAGCGACATCAAAAAAGTTGAATGACATTTCATGTTACACAAGAAACGTGATCGTACTGGTAATTCCGATTATGATGATAAACTGCTAAAATCAGCTCAATATATCATGAGATCTTATTTAAGTAAACAAAAAAGAAAATATATAGTCGTGAGAATAAAAATTCTCATATCTCGTTATCCACTGGGTCAATATTGAGTTTTTTAACCATAATTATAGCCAAAATTTCTTCCTTTATAACTTTATTAGAAGTAGAAGAATGGTTTACAGAGCAAAAATCCAATTAATCGATTAAAGAATCGACCGGTTATGATCGGTCATTTAACATTATTATTATTATTATTCAATAACCGGTAATGGCCGATCGTGACCGACCGAACCCATCCTAATACTAATTGTGATAAATGATATACTGTCGATACACCATAAGCGTACACTATATAAGTATGCTTAACATATCGATATACATGGGTGCCTAAATTACCCATCTTAATAAAAAAGTAATTGTGGCATTTAGGGCAGCCGAAATTAGTCTTATAGTCTTATATAGTGTAAAATTAATTTTCATATTTGCTGAAATTATTGCTGAAATTATTGCCGAAATGTTTTGAATTAAAATACATCATATAATATAGTTATTTCGACGGGTTTCATATAAAAAAATTAGCAATGACGAAATGTTTGCCGAAAATAACAAAGTGAATCCCACACATGGTGTGATCAATTAAAACTGAAATTATTTATATTAGTTTTAATTGATCAACCATGTGTGGGATTCACTTTGGATCGGGTACGTTCCCTCCTGTTGCCGAAAATACGGCTTTTCAAAAATAATTTAGGTGCCCATGTATAGCTTCACATGCACTTTCCCAATCGGTCTAGTATAATTATTTAATATTATTTGTAAATTATTCTCCATATTCATTTGTGGATAGAGTTCCAATCAGTGTTAGATATCTAATGTTCTCAGTGTTCTCAAGAACATTAAAATATTTTTGAGAACACAATTTTTGAAAATTATGTTCTCATTTGAGAACATAAAATTTGTAAATTGTATTATATCTAAAAACTTTAAAAATCTTTCTGAGAACCTAAAATTTAAAATTTATGTTCTCAGAGAACAAAAAAAAATTTTCAGATCTCTAACACTGGTTCCAATCCATTATCCGTATATCCATTTATTGCACGGGTCTTATGTGACAACCCGTGCTTTTTACATTTACTTATTGGCACGGGATTGTTACGTCAGACACCGTGCAATAAGATAGTTATTGTATTGGTATGTTGAATAACCCAGTTACACACACGGGTTCATTGTATTGGTATGTTGAATAACCCAGTTACACACACAGGTTCATATTTAAATCCGTGCCTTCGGCACGGAATATGAACCCGTGTGTAACTGGGTTATTTACCACATACCCATACAATAACTATAATTTATCTATCGGATATTCAGGATCGATGCATCCCTATATAGTAGTATGAGGTAAGTAGGATAGTTAATTGGAAATAAAAAATACAATGAATAATAAGATAGATTAAATGTGTGAACCCAAAGTATATAGAAATCATTTGAGAAAATGAAACTTCGGACTTTCAAGTTTATCATTTTTAAAGGTCAAATCTGGTAAATAATCGATTATAAATTGTAAAAGTGTCATTTTCTTCTCTCATTTATGATAGTTCATTAATCGGAAATAACAATTATACCACACTTAGAAACTAATTAAGAAAGTAACTTGCATTATTTTAAATGTGCTTTTAAATCTACTGAAATATAAAAACGACTTTTGTAAAAATTTTGTATCTAAAAACTAAGCTTTCATAAATCAACGAGTAAGTAGATCGAGATCAAAATCTTGCAAGAAAATTCCTTGCTAAGACAAAAGCTTGTTATTTAGTAATATTTTAAGATGGGATTTTTGAAATCTATGCTGGGCTATGTTTGATCCCTAAATCTAAAAGATGTACCATAATATGGATAACCAAATTAGTCTATCATTATAAATTAGTTACGATTAATTTTCACATGCTTACCGGGAATTTAGATAACGTAATGGATGGTTCAGTTCAAGTTTGCGTTCGTACATAAAACCTTGATTTTGATATTATGTAATATAAAATGATTTTCATAAGAAATTTAATAATAAATGATTTATCAATTATTGTGGTTTACAAAAGAGAAGAGAAGAAATCGACGATTTCTGATTTCCGATTTCTTAAATATTTTTTTTTGCAGAAATAGAAGTTGTAGATACATTCTTTTGTAACATATTTGATTTATATCTTTTGTAGGAATATAATTTGCACTTCATCATGTTGTAAAGAATTAGATTGTGTATAATTAAATTTTGTTTCTTTTTTAGTCCGATAAAATTCACTATTGCATGATGAGCAAGAAGAATATTTAAAAATTGCACAAATTCAATTTTATAAGAATTATTACATGATTCTGGAAAATTGATTTGTTTATTACCGGAAGGATCATGAAATTTCAAAGTAAACGCATAAGGAGCTTTAGTATCATTTTTTTTGTTGGAATTATCTTTTTTCACAGTTACAATAAGTTTCAGAAATTGTCCAAAGCATGTTCTGGAATAAAAATTTTTGGCCATTGGAGATTTTTTTGTATACTAAATAAATATATAATATTAGTTAAGTCATCAGAAGTATATTAAGAAATCGGAAATTAGAAATCATCAATTTCTTTTTTTATTTTTTATCTGCAAATTACAAATAATTTTGCAAACCGCAATAAAATAAATCAGTACAAATAAGAAATTCATAATAAATAATTATTACACTTATTGGCGAAATCGAATTAATAAGTGACTGTTTATCAACCAAATTAGCACAGATAATATACCAATAAGAGGTGTGGTGTATACATTGTTTCAAATACATTGATTAATAAATTATTGATATGCTGTCAGTTAAATAAACATATGTATGAAAGTACCGATTATTAATTTTTGAAGTGGCAGTAATTTATAATCATATCGTAATATAACTTACGAAACAGTGAAAATTTTTATTTAAATCGTACTTACAAGCTAATTTAATATATGAAGAAATGACTGATTTCAATTGCGCTTACTATTATAATCATTACAAACTAAAAAAAAAGAAATCAATGAGAAGTGGAAAACTCTATTCACTATTTATAATTAAGATTTCTTTCCGATTATTATGTTTTCATATTGATATACTCTCGATATATTGTAAATCGCAATAAATAAGATCAGTGTAATGAATTTAACCCTTTTTTGAATTTTTTTTCAAAATGACGAAACGTAGGATTTTCATGGATTTCGAAGACTGCTTTTTTCCTATAAAAAGGAGATCAAATTATCAATAATCATACCAAGAAAAAAAAACATCTGAATTAAAAAAAAAATCCCCCAAAAAATTACTATCTATTTCTTAAGAAAACATGAAGAATTTTATTTTTGTGTTCAGTTTATTTGCAATTTTTCTTACTGTAAATGCAGTTCCATTTAAACTTAATAAAAGAGCTACCAGCTTCAACGCTTGTCCTCCACAAAGTGGTGTTACTTTTGACCCACTTACTGTAACAATATCACCTGACCCTCCTGTTGAAGGTCAATCCATTAAATTTGATGTGAACGGAACATTAACAACACATGATATCACCGCAGAAAAAACTGTTCTTGCAGCTGTTTTTGCAAGTTTAGATAAAACACCTATAAGTAATTCCTCTCAACCATTCGACAAGTCATTTCCACATGGAACCCCATTTTCGAAAACTTTATCGGATGTTTCTCCTGCTGATTTACCTAATCCATATGCTATTGTAGTTATTGTTGGAGATCCAACCGGTGATCCAGAGAATCCAGTAACTGTTTATGGCTGTGCGTTTGCTATTGTTGTTTCTAGCTAATTCTTTCGATGATTTTTCTATTAGTTCTTTATTGTTTAAGTAAAAAACTATATAATTGCAATATGTTGATATTGATAATTGATGCCTATAACAAAAAGTATAGAACTGTTTATACAATAATTCTATTTACTTTAGTAGCTATAAAGTTTTAACAAATCTATATTAAAAAAGAATTATCAGATTTATAATAATATTAGTTATTTGTTTGCTATTTATAATTTTTTTTGATATAATAAACTACATACCCTATATCTTGTTTATTTATTTAATAAATGCACTTAATTAGTTAAAATTTTTTTTTGTAATCAAAATTTAACTTTAGGCATATTTCTGTATTTTGACAGAATAATTTGAATACAGTATAATAATTATAATAATAATTATAATATAAATACTCAAATTTCTAATATATTTTTCTTATATGTATATCAAAATTTATTTTCTTTAAATTGTATTGTTTTTTTAAACTCTTTTTATTTTTTTATTAATATATATTTAATTAGTTAAAAATTTTTTATTAATCAAAATTTAATTTTTAGCTTATTTTAACATAATGATTTAAACACTGTATAAGTATTATTTATTTCATGGGGGAGTAGAAATTATAACAGAGGTTACCGATGATCATAATACATCGGGCCATCCACGTACTATGATCATCGGTAATCTTGTTATAATTTCCCCACAGGAAATAAATAAATAATCCCCAGAAGCGTGTCACTAGATGTTAATTGGACTACCATACCATTATTTTTACACGTGTTCCATATTTATATTCGTATTGTGCT